CCCCCCGCGTGGGGTCACGGTGGGGCTCAAAGCCTGTAATTTGTCTGGGATGGGATATCGGCTACCTTGGTCCTCGGGCCAGTAAAAGCTGTAATGGGTAGGAATCTGAGGGGAGAGGGAATTTTTTGGTTTTTTGGGGGCCAAGCTGGTGTCAGAAAACAAGGTGGGGCTGGAGTTTCTTGTACACCTAAAATGCTGGTTGTAGTCTGGGGGTGTGTGAGCAAAAAGCAGATGGAAGGGGGTGAAGACGCGTATGTACATAAATCTCTCTGTATGTGTGTATGTATTTTAAGATCTTAAAGTGGGAATGCGTCTTGTGTTTCTACTCACGGGCACCTTTGAATCTTTAAAACTAAAGACCACCTTAAGTTGAATGTTTCCACGAGAAAACTGTGGCTAAGAAAAAGATATTTCAATAAAACATTCTAGTCGTGAAACAACACACTTCTGAAATTCAGATAAAGTCCTTCAAGTTTAATCCCTGTGTTTTATGCCCAGTGGTTTTTTTTTTTTTTTTTTTAAATTTTCTAAACAAGGAACCTACCAGGCAAGTGTTGAGCTGCTTAACGGTGCTTTAGTGCTTCCATGAGACTCTTCAAGTTGTATTATCTGCTGCTTTCCTAGCAGGGTAAATGCAGTCTGGACACAAAGGTATCGGGATTTTAAGTTTTGGGGTTGTTTTTGTTTGTGGTTTTTTACTTTTAATGATAGTAATACTTGAACTTCTGACTCACGTATACAGGTGCAGTCACAAATGTTATGTTTTGTAATTGTTTTGAGTCTCTTTCCTCAGTTCTTCTAGCTGTATTTAAAGACGTCAAACTGATTTGTTTATGTCGTTTTCTTTTCTGCTTGAAAAGTAATTTATAATTTATTATCCAAATCATTATATTTTTTAAAGACTAAAGCTAACACTACAAGTTGACCATTTAGTAATAAAAAGACCTAATTACAGTTTTTCAGTAGAGGTATAGAAGTAGTAAATTTGGGTACCAGTTACTTGTCCACAATGTTTTCTCTTTTGTCATCCATAACCTTACAGCACAATTTCTGAATTTGTCAGAGGGGGACTGACTCTGAATTTGGTCGTGTGAATTTTTAAGTTGCTTTTGAAATAGCTTAGGTTTATTTATTTTTATGGGTGAACCGTTCTGAGATTTTTCTTTTAGAAATGACAACTTGGTGTCACTCCTCACATAATGTCCTTTGGGATTTTTCTTCTTACCTGTAGAAAATCAAGAATTTCCAATAAGCTGTTATTTATTTTAAGATGGCCCATAATTAAAAGAAAATATTTCAACTGTTGCGCTCATGATCTTGCAACTACGTATGTCATGTGTCTGTCTAGACCTTTGCCTGGGGTATACCATGCGGTATCCAAAAGCCGTATAATTAAGAAGCGTGCTCTCCTCGCCGTTGGTGTGTGGGGAGCGGGCTCGGGGTTCCTGCAGAAATGTCGGGTCAGAAAAGGGGAATGCTGCTTATCAGATTGCCAAAATGATTGATCTGAAACTGGACTCTTCCGTGGAGAAGTGCCTGGCTGTTGGAGTCAGCTGTCAAGTTTTTCCACTGCAATTTGCATGATGAAGTGTTGTGGGTTATTTTTTCTTTTTTCAAATTCAGCATAATTCAGAATGACTTGCAGCATGCCATAGGTTTAATACCAAATGATTGTGACTTAGCTGTAATTATTTTGATTCAAATATCTTTACATCGTCACCTTCATCTGGTAGTTGCTCAAGAAAGTGGCGTGATTTCAAACTTGCATTTTTAAAATAATTTTTTAAAAATTAGGTTCATTTCCCCCGACAGCAGGAGACGTGGAGGTATAGGAAACAGCCGGCCATATTTACTGAGCCCGAGTACGATAGGAGCTGATAAGAAGGGATATGTAAGCTGATGATTGCAGACTGGCTTGTGTTGTGTTAGGGGCATACACACACGCACACACAGAGGGAAGGGCAGACAGACATCCAAAGGAGGAATGTTAATGCCACGGCATTTGCTAGTGTAGTGTGTAATATATGTGATCTCGGATGAATAATAAATTACATTTCAACCAGGGACGTGTGTTTCAATTGGTTTAATTTCCAGAATGTTAAAACATTCTTCAACATATTTTTGAAATGAGCAAACCTCAGTCTTTTTCTAACTCGGGTTTTTTCTGCCTTAGTCTTTGAGGTGTTTTTTTAATATGTACTTCTGATTTGAGCATTTCATTGCTTATAATTCATTCTGAAGTGAGAAGCCACAGGTTCATGTGTACTCACAAAATGTCATCTCTGTGTTTGCTGGCAGAAAGAGTAACATCTGTGCTCTTCTCTTTTTCTGTTCCAGGTGATCGGAGCCCTTGTACTTGCCATTGGGATTTATGCAGAAGTTGAAAGACAGAAGTACAAAACTCTAGAAAGTGCCTTTCTAGCCCCGGCAATTATTTTAATACTTTTGGGCATTATAATGTTCCTTGTATCTTTTGTGGGTGTACTGGCTTCTTTGAGAGACAATTTATGCCTCCTTCAGGCAGTAAGTGTTGGGTTTTTTATTCATAATTTTTAAGGCTCGTTGCTTTTGCTTTTCAGTGTCACCCGAATTCAAACCCTTAACAATGTCTGTGTTGAGAAGTGTTTTAATAAAGTTGCCTTTTTGATTTTGATTGCATTTGAAACTGCTTTATGGCAGTGGTCCCCTAGCCATGGTCTGTAGATGTCCCTCCATCAGGGAGCAGCAGTATTTGGCCTGCCAGTGACAGGACAGGCGAGGGCCAGAGCCCGGTGCTGAGAAAACCAGCTTTCCAACAGTTAAGGGCTTTGTGGAAAACAACCAGGAATGTGAATTATTATCAGCCAGCATGAATCTTGTGCAAACTCAGCTGTTGACATACCATTTGACACTAGCCTGGCACCGCGGTGCCTGCTCTTGCTCTGGTCTGGCCGTGCCCTGCTGTGTTGGAGAAGAGGAGATGGTGCTGCCCCTTGGCCGAAGGAGAAGGCCCAGCCTGGCTGCAGCTTCTCCCTGTCGGTACGGGGGGTTTCCTAGAGCTGCGAGCTCACTTGCTGGGGTGTGAAGCGCAGAGATGAGCTGCAGTCCCTGATGGTTCCCCAAACGCTTCTTGTTTCAACCCGGAGGAAGCTGCTAGAGAAAGAAACCCCAAGTCAGGCTGGCATCCATCAGGCTGGTGATGGCTGGGGTCTGTCTGCCTTCGTCCGGGAAGTGGAAGAGAGGGGGGAGATGGAGAATTGTGTGTTACAGTGTTAGCTGTATAGTGCCACAGGGCTTCGAGAGAAGGGCCCTAAGGGAGAAAGGAAAGGGACACGCTTTTTCTCTCCAGTGCCTCTAAAAGGGTAAATTTTAGGGAAATTCCAGTACAACGCTGTGGTTGCAGATGGAAGTTGCACGTAGGACTAATTAAAAAATAAAGCACAAAATCATAATTTTCACCTTCATGGGAGTTCAGTCTAAAGAAGTGCTAAATACGTGGTATGTTATGTAGGACAAAACAAGAAGTAGCTGTGGATTTTGAAATTATGCTGGAATTTTACTGAGAGTCTGTCCTTAGGTGTGGTGGTGGCTTCTTTTGCTCGGAGCGTGGTGGTGTGTCCTCATGTGATGCTGAGGATGTTTTCTGTTCCCTTTGTGGTAGCAAACCCAGTAGGGTATTCAAACAAAGAAAGTCCCTGATGCCTGCTTCTTAGGCTAATTCCAGATTCAGCAGAAGAAAAGATGTCTGTCCAGTGAATTCGTGACACTGATACTGGGTATTGAGAGCACAGAAATTAAACCAGCTTTCGGGGCGGAGCATTAGAGATTATTTTCAGATGAGAGATCATAAAACCTCACTCCTGGTGAAGTTCATTGTTAAGATGTAGACCTAAATTCACATAACAGCCATCTTTTATACCCAAAGAATCCTTTGGGTTGGAAAAACGTTTCAAGTACTGGCACGTCGCAATTATCTCGTGGTGTTGCTAGGGATTTCTTCATGTTGTTTGCATTTTGCATGCGCTTTGGTAAGTAGTCACAGATGCATACGTTGTGGTCATGTGTGAGTGCATTTGTGAGCACGTGTATGCATATGCACAGATGAATAAATAAATAGAGAGCTAGCAGATGTAATTTTTCTTACCACTGAGCATAGTAAGTCGTATTAGTGCCCATCGTGCAGCCTCTGTGCTCAGCTGGCTCGGTGCTAACAGTACCGCTCAGTTCCCTCTTCTGAAGCAACACACTAAAAGGTACCAAGCCAGAATTTTCTTTGCTTCAACACTGGCAATTTAGTACAAAATTGTTTGGATTATCTTAAAGCACCGCTTTACCCAAGAAATGAAACCTAGCAGGTGAATACTGGCTGTGTAGGAAGCATAAAAACACAGTGTTCGGTGTGGTTTGTAGCAGTCCGTTGATATGCTTCTCTGTGATGCTGTTATGGAGAGAAATATCTTGGCACCATAAATGCATCTATCAGTTTTGAGTCCATTCAAAGCAGAAAAATAATGTGTTTGCCAATTGCGCAAACCCCAGGATGACTCAAGCAAGGAAAAAAGGCTTTCTTGTGACAGGAACAGTTTTATAAGAACAAAGCCATAATTTTATATCTTTAGGATGATATCTCTTATGCAGAAAGCCAAGTGTGTTGGCAATTGAATGTTACAGGCTTAAGCACACTAATTGAGAGAGTAATTGGGGTTTGCTCTGTTTAAGGTCTCACTTGCAATTGTTTTTCTGCAGTTCATGTACATTCTTGGTATCTGCTTGCTGATTGAGCTGACTGGTGGAGTGGTGGCCCTGATCTTCAGAAACCAGGTGAGTCGCGTTCAGCTTTTACTCATGAAGAACGTTACTCACAATCCGTGACATTACAGCTATGCTGCTGAGCAAGTAACGGGCATTAAAATTGTCACATGAGCGCTACTTGATGGAGGTCTGAAGGCAGGTCCAGACTTTTTGGGGCCTTTCAACTTTGGGGAAGGGTGGGATTGGCCACCCATCCTGGAGATGAATTCCACATTAAAGAATTTGGAGAAAATCTGGTGGCTAAGAACATGCAATACAGGCAAAATGAGTTTCCAGCTCCTCCTGTATTACAAAGTGCTCTCTTCTCGTTTGCCATCTGGGTCTCAGATGGCTGATCGAGGAAGTTTCCAGCTGGATTTGGAGACTTGGTTATTTTTCAGTGGCCAAAATGTTTTACCTTACCTAAAAGACAGCTGTTCCCTGCCCACGTCCATAAGCAACACAACTGATTTCTGTAGGAGACCCTGTTGTTTACAAGCATGCTATAATGATATAAAACCTTCTTTTTTCTAAACAGAAAGCAGCAGACTATTTTTTTTCTGTTAGAAATGTTTTATAACGTAAATATGTTCACTATGCCAAGTACTAGATTTCTGTGCTTTGATTTTTTTTCTAATATGGCAAAATATGAGCATTAAAAGGAGATGCTGGTTAATAAGACCTCTTCCCTCCCCACGCCAATCCTACCAATCTCATTTCCACAAAAAGAAGTCATACATACCATGTTACATATGTTATTAAAAAAAAAAAAGCTTTAAAAAAGATTTTTTGGGAAATAACAATTCGTCATTATTATATTCTTCCTATCTAGCATTTTATTCTTACTCCATGCTGGACCGGAGTCGTGAACTTGACTTGTGAGAGCAGAGGATGAGTTATCTTCATTTCTAGATGCTGTTGTTAGCCGTTGCCGTGAGTGTTGCCTTGGCCCTGTGCGAGGATTGATTCTGGATTGTGGTGGGGGCACCAGGCTCATCCAAGAGGAGTAGATCAGCCTGCCTGGTGTAGGAGTGTGGGCATCACAGGATGCAGAGAATTTGGTTGATGGAAAATTAAGTAGATGCCAAAGATGGCATTTGCTGAGAGGGTGAGGAGGAACTGCATTTGACTTGCAGACAAAGAAAATGTATTGTTGGGGTTTTGTGCACTAAGCGTTTTCCCGCGCTGTGAGTTGGCTGTCTGAGCAGGACAGCTATGCTCAGGGACAGGTCTGTTTGTTTGTTTCAGGGACAGGTCTGTTTGTTTGTTTTAAAAGGTTAATGGAGAAGTTTGGGTTAGTATGGGGAGGAGAAGGAAGTATTTAATAAAAGCTTAGGGTAATAGCCTCCACTTAAATGCTGGTTGTTTTGCGTGTCTCAGTGGTTTTTCCCTGTTTCTTGCTCTATTTCCGTCTCAAATCTGCCGAGTCTAAGTGAGGTGATAAAGGCAGCGCGAGAGCAGTCAGTACTTGCTGCTGTTCATTCTTGGCCAGTTATGACAGTCCTGCAAAATCCTGTGTTACTTCTAATCTTCGATACAATAATTTATTTTGTTCTGTTTTGGTTTCAAGTGTAATACTGAGAAAATGAGTAGGCATAGTTCAGGATTCTTTCTGACCTGCAGGGATTCAGCTTTGGTCATTTTAGCAGCTGGGTTGAAAGGAAAGTTGTTGTGTTCTGATTATGATTAGTCCCGGTTTTTGCTATGCTGTGATTGGTTTTCAACATCCAGCACAAATACAAAACTAAAAACTCGTGTTGTCGTCCCGTCCGTCCCCGTCCCCCCCCCAAATGTGAACAGTGTTTTGTTGATTTAATTTCTAATACGCCAAGCTGAGGAGATGGCATTTTATATCTACAACTACTCTACTGCCACATTTCTGAAAACAACCACTGTAAAACATACAGATACACTTTTTTCCTGCTTAAGGTGGAATAAAGCTCTTTATCTGGCAGTTGTGGACTCCATGGAAAATTAAATGGTGACAATAAAATTAATGGAAAATCAGATTAATGGAAGATGGTGAGCAAGGACAAGTCAGCTATTGTCGCCCAGGGCGTGGTGCAGGCCGTGGTGCCAAGACCCACCAGCCAAGCCTACCGTTCTGTCACACAAAAGATGATGGGGATCCCCAGTGCCCCGTGGGAGGGATCCTGCCTGGGGATAATGAGACCATCTCTGGGAGATGCTTGGAGAGTCTTAGAGGAGCAGCATCTCGTTGGAGAGGTGTTACATGGTTAGCACTTCTCAGCACAAAACCAGCAGTGAGACTGCTTCCTTGAAAGAAAACAGAGGGTCAGTCCCTGCAGGACTGTGCTATGATTGATTCTTAACTGGTATTTGTTTTTTCTTTAAAAATAAAAAAGCCTTTCCTTTTGTCTTTTGTGCTCATCAGTTACACTTGTCCCTTTAACCTGCTCTTTTATTTGTTTTGGTGTGTGTAACCTGTGAGTCTTGTTTTACTTTTGCCTTCTAGACAATCAACTTTTTGAACGATAATATTAGAAGAGGAATTGAGAATTACTATGATGACTTAGATTTCAAGAACATCATGGATTCTGTGCAAAAGCAGGTTTGGTTGGTTGGTTATTTTTTTCCTGGGACTAATTCAGTGCCGAGATGTAGTAGATCCAGGGCAACAGCTTTGAGTTTTTCCAGTGATGTGAAATCAATTTCTTACTGACGAGGGTGATGAGATCTCATGAGTCATCTGTTATGATGTCGCTGCAGGTAGGACTCCTTCAGCATCCCAGCTGGCATTTGAAGCCCCCTAAATTACTGCAAGAAGTGGGGGCAAAATGCTGCTTTTGCCTTGGTAGGTGTGATTCAGATACTCAAGGCCAGATCCTGCAAACATCTAGACTTATATGAGTCCCACAGCTGGATTCAGACAGATTCAGCCTAAATTCCACCCAAGTTCTTGTGCTCAGTGTTTCTGCTGGCTGGTCCACAGCATTTAAAGCCATCTTGTTAACAGGAGGCACCGGATAAAGAGAGATTAGATGGCAGTTAGGCGGTTTGAACCTGGGCCATTGTATTTTCACTTGAGGGCACATAGCAAGTTCTTTAACAAGGTGGTTATTCAAAAGAAATGCCAGTGGAAGCATATATACCTGCAATTAAAATTCAGAAATTGTGTTGAGCCCAGCTGAGCATTAGTTAACGGCACGTGTAGTTGACTCACAGCCTTTTTTTTTTTTTAGGTTAGTGTGTTGAAATGTTTATTGGATTATTGAAGAGCTCTGCCATAGAGTTCAGAAACTATAGAAGAAGCAAAAAATGTTGAGAAATGTGATGTTGTGGCCCCTGTAATGTCAGTGACCTTGCCAAATGGTGATTAAAAAAAAAAAATTAACTTAGGGAGTGATATGTATGTTTTATGACATCGTTATGGAGATGGCAGCCTGCTTTGAAAAACAGAGTTAGGGTGGAAAGTCTGTCAAAAGCCAGCCATCCTGAGGAAATTTTGTCATTAGACTTCATAGTGCTTTAAAGTTTCCATGCACTGCCCAAAATTATATATATGTACAGCAAATGTACATTTTAGTGATTAAATAAACTGCTGCTTTTCCCTGCATTTAAAATATTTTAATATTTGTATGAAGTCAGTGTAAGCTTACAGTAGTTGTTTGCTAGATCTCAGTTCTACTAAATTACATCCAAAACATTTTGGTGAGATTTTTTTTGTGCCTCATAGAAACACTTTGGTCTTTTAGACTCATTTAGAAATGTAGTCACAATACTTAAAAAATTTAAGAAATATACTGCAGCCCAAGATGGAGTGAGTGTGAAAACATTCCTTAATGATGTCCAAGTTTTTGACTTGGAAAAGATAGGAGATGAAACTTAGTGCCAAGTACTTTGCTCTGGAACCCTGGCTAATAACTCGATGACTGATGGAGGAACACTGCCTATATCTTTGATTCTTTTCAGTTGCATACGTTCATCTATGCCTTGCTGAGAAAATGACAGAATTGCTGGGTAGCTCGGTGCTCGTAAGATTACTTTATTCTTACTTTATATTCTAATTATTAGAAGAGTTAAGATATAAAATTTTTTTCCTCTGCCTTTTGTGTTGTTTTTTTCCAGTTTAAGTGCTGTGGTGGGGAAGATTACAGAGACTGGTCACAAAACGTGTACCACAACTGCGCGGCGCCGGGACCGCTGGCCTGCGGCGTGCCCTACACTTGCTGCGTCACAAATAAGGTAAGTCCTGGCATCTTGGTGTTGCTGCTCTCTGCCACTTCACTGGCGTTCACCTAAAAAGGTACCTTACTTTAGAAAGTCTGAGGGAGGAAGCAAAGGAAAATGGGTCCCTCCTGAAAACGGGATTTTTTCCCTAGGATTTGCTGTTCCAGCTTTGCCAGAAAGCTTGGGCCAGGATTGCTTCCGAGGGTGGGGGTTGGATTGATGTGCACCAGCCGCTGTGTAATCACTGAACAGAACGACCTCATCATCCAGAAATGTGGGCAAATGACCTCAGAGTCAGTGCGTCCTTGTGGATGCAGGTCTAGACCGGAGCTGCTGCTCTACCCTAACTCATCCTGGAAAACTGCCCACCTTGCTGCCCTGTAAAATCCTCCCTGGAAGGACACCTGTCAGCTGGAGTCTGGACCCGTGCCTCAGTCTACAATGAACTGGTATTAACTGGTGCTGGCAGCACTAGAGCAGGCGTGAAGTTCCACGCGAATGATTTTGTGCAGACCCCCTGTTTTATATAAATTTGAGCAGTTTTAATTCATTGCTTTTCCTTAGAGAGATGAATGTAATGCTGAGTTTGATGAAGAGCTAGTCCTCAATGTGAAAGTGGTATGGACCATCCCTGCCTCACTGGGTTTTGGTCTTTGAACACAGGACAGAGAAATTGAGTATGTGTAAGAGCAGACGTGCGTGGGTGCTTCAGGACAGGCTGCGCGTGTGATGGGAGGCTGCTGATAAACCCACCCCTGATGTGGCATCCTAGGTATTGCAGACGGGGATTTGATGGGTGTCAAAGAGATGTGGCCGGCGTGTGCCCTCAGTATGTGCGAGTCCTTTGCTGGTGTTCAGTCATCTCAGAGAAGTGGTTTCACATCACCTTCTGCATCCTTTCGCATTTAACACCCAGGAGCTTGTGTCCTGGACCCATTTCAGTAGAGCTCGTGATGGATAGCCTGCCGGCGCCTGTTGTGTGCTGCCCTTTCAGCGTCTGCCTTGAGCATGAGTGTTTAATTAAAAAAAGGGAAAATAAATGCAATAATTGTCAGTAATCCTGCTAGGTGTTGCTAAGAAATGTGTATAATATAAAGGTGTTTGTTACGTATGCTTACACATTTTTTGTGTATGAAAAAGAGTCTGTTTAAATCTGTGCTGAGCTTTGATTTATTCTCAGAAACCAAAGCTAAACAGTTATGCTTTAAGTCTTAGGTGTTTGAGAATATGCTGGGCAGACCCTCCTCTTAGGGAAGTCTGCTGTCTCCGTGGGGCCAGGGCTAAGGACATCGCTAGGAAACGTCCTAGCCTGGTACAGCTGTTGGATTGTTACCCACTACTGCTCTTCCATGTGGGGGACGATGAAGCTGCAACACATAGTCCAAGGGCAATCAACAGACTTCAGGGCCTCGGGACAGTTGGTAGGGGAATCTGGAGCACAGGTTATTTTTTCATCTCTCCTTTCAGTTGTTGGTAGTGATATTGGAAGAAACAGACAGGTGCAGTCTATTAATACATGGCCCCGTCGCTGGTATCACCGCCATAATTTTGTGGTTTTCGATAATGGAATGGCCTACGTGGCACCAGGCTTAATGGTGTCAGGTGCGATTCACCTTTCTCAGAGTGAGAAGAGGGTCTTTGCTCACAAGCTAGTGGGGCTGGTTGACAGAGCTTTAAACTGGACGTGAAGGGGAAGAGGGATAATACCAGGCTTGCCCATGACCAGCTGTGGGAGGACATGCCAAGGTTAGAGGGACAGGGTACTAGCGAGGGCCCTCAGCCTACTGCTCTGAGACGCGCTGGCTACACTGCAGCACACTTGAAGTCTTATGGAGATGAGCAACGGCTCCTGAGGTAATAGGAGCCAGCAGGGAAACACCAGGGAAATACCTCAAAGGAATGAAGGGTTGTTCTTCTAAGAAGGTGACGTGGCCAGCAGCCCAGTTGGAGTGTTTCTACACAGCATGGGCTGTGTTGCAGCATGGGCAACAAAAAGGAGGAGTTGGAAATCACCATAGCTAGAAAGCTACAACCTGGTTGCCATTACTAAAACTTTGTGGGACAAATGGCATGACTGGAGTGCTGCTGTCAATGGCTACAGGCTGTTCAGAAGGGACAGGCAAAGAAGTAGAGGGGTGGAGGCGTTGCCTTCTTCGTCAAGAAATGGATACAGTGTGAAGAGCTGTCCCTGAAGAACAGCCACAAGCAGGTCGAAAGCTAATGGGTAAGCATTAGAGACCGAGGCGACAAAGGGAACCTTGTGGTTGGTTTCTACTACTGGCTGTCTGGTCAAGGGGAGCCTACTGACAAAGCCTTCTTCCTCCAGCTACAGGAGGCTTCGTGCTCGCAGTCTCTCGTCCTCCTGGGGGATGGCGGGTGGGGAGCAAAGTTACAATGCTCAAGCCATCCCATCTGGCTGGAGATTAAGAGTGGCTTATCAGAGCAGTGACAAATATTCCTTGGCTGTGTCCCAAGCTGAGAAGCAAAAGACCAACAATGTTAAGGGTGGGCATAGACATGTCAGATCCTCTTGCACCCCTCCAGGGAAACCAGCATGTCCGAGTTCCTTCTTGAAATGTCTGTACAACAATGCATGCAGCATGGGCAATAAGCAGGAAGGATTAGAAATCTGTGTGGTCGCAGGGCCACGATCTCTTTGCAATTACAGAGACGTGGTGGGACTGCTCGCATGACTGGCATGCTGTCATGGATGGCTACACACTCTTTAGGAAAGACAGGCCAGCAAGGCGAGGTGGTGGAGTTGCTCTGTATGTGAGGGAGCAACTGGAATGTGTTGAGCTCTGCCTGGAGGCGGATGAAGAAAGAGTTGAGAGCTTATGGGTTAGAATTAAGGGACAGGCTCATATGGGTGACGTTATTGTGGGAGTGTACTACAGGCCACCTGACCAGGAGGAGGAAGTTGATGAGGCCTTCTACAAGCAGCTGAAAGTAGCCTCACAGTCACAGGCCCTGGTTCTCATGGGGGACTTCAACCACCCTGACATCAGCTGGGAAGACCACACAGCCAGGCACACACAGTCCAGGAGGTTCCTACAGAGCATCGATGATAACTTTATGATGCAAGTAGTGGAAGAGCCAATGAGGAGAGGTGCTCTGCTGGACCTTGGACTAATGAACAAGGAGGGACTGGCTGAGGATGTGAAGGTTGGAGGCAGCCTCGGCAGCAGAGACTGTGAAATGGTGAACTTCAGGATCCTGCGTGGAGGAAGCAGGACAATAAGTAGGATCAAAACCTTGGACTTCAGGAGAGCCAACTTTGACCTCTTCAAGGAGCTACTTGGAGGAATCCCGTGGGCCAGGGCTCTAGCAGGCAGGGGGGTCCAAGAGAGCTGGTTGCCGTTTAAACATCACTTCCTCCATGCTCAGGAGCAGTGCATCCCCCTGAGGAATCTAGCAAAGGAGGCAGGAGACCCACATGGATGAGCAAGGAGCTTCTAGCAGAGCTCAGGTGGAAGAGAAAGGTCCATGGAATGGT